CCCCCACCCCCAGCCCGGCTCAGCCACTCCAGAAGGGAACCCAACTCCCAGCAGGTAGGACCCCGGGTTTGGCCCGGTAAATCTATAGGTTCAGGGAACCAGGGAGATGCTCTCTGCCTGGGGGACCTCCGAGGTCCTGCTGAGATAGAAGAGAATTGAGAGAAAGACACAAGATACTTCACGTTTAATTCAGTTACCGTCGAAATTGTATATTAATAGCACGTCCCCCTTTCCCTGGTTTGAAGGAGACACTTACCCCTGTGAGATAAAGATCTGAAATAATCACCGCCCAATAGGACTTCTTAGAGGGGCAGCAGGGTAGTCCCTTCAGGCTGAGACCAAGCCTTCCTAAAGAGCCCCCCCAAGGGGAGCCATAACAAAGTGTCCTGAGCAGCTCAGCTCCTTCCCGTCCCTGCGCCCCCTGGTCCGAACACCCCAAATGGTGGCTTGAGGGGAGGAGGTGGCGCAGGTGCGAATCCGCGACCAGCAGGGGCAGCTCCTGGGACCGAAGTGAGGCCCCTGGCCCCGAGGAGTCCCCTGGGAAGGAGGAACCCCTGCTGAGCGCGTATTTTACTTGTACTTTTAAGTCAGCAAGGCCAAGGCACCTTTGGCTGTGAATGTCTGAAAAATCTGTAAAAGAGGAAAATTGAGGAAGGAGGAAAAAAACAACAAAAAAACTTGGTCTGGGAAATTCCCCGCAGGCCGTTCTAGGGGTGCGTCGGGGCTCCCTGTGCCCTGACTAAAGACAGATATTTGGGGGAAAGTGAGGATTTTAAAAAGTGGGGAGGGGGCGCACACTCCCTTTGGAACTGGAACTTCCTGTTCCCAGGTCTTTTCCCTGGAGAGCCAGCCAGTCCCTGAGACGCCGGCTGTCCTGACTCTGGCTTTGGCTCTATTCCAAAACTCCCCGCGCCCCGTGGGTCACCGCCACTGCTGCCCCAAGACCTGGCCACCCGGAACCACAGCCACTGTTCACGCCCCCCTCGCTGGACACCTCCTGTCCACCTCGTCTTCCTTTCTCCCTGAAAACAGAAAAGAAAGAAAACCAAAAAGCCCCTTGGCTTTGTGTTTTAGGGGCGCCAGAGTCATGGGTGATATATGACAAGTCATCTCCCTAAGTGGGGTGCCCATTTGGGGAGAAATATACATGTAGGACTATACGGTCGTCTGCCTGTATGGTTCATGTTTCTGGGAGGTCTGCGGCCTGTGATGACACAGACACACTCCGGGGCACAATGTGCACGTTTATTCGTCGGTCACACGCATTCATTGCCCCCCTACGAAGCTATCGGGGACTTTCCTTTTTCTTTTTGCTGTTGCTGTCCAGCCCGACGCCTGTCCTAGACTCGCCTTACCTGCTGCTCCTTCCAAAAAGAAGTGGTTCCCGGCATCAAAAGCAACTGGCCACAGAACGCGCGCCCGGTAAAAACTACCAATTACCTAGGAGCAGCTGGGAGCCGGGCTTAGAGTGCGGGGACCTGAGGTCCCGCCCGGGACTGGGGTCTTTTACCTTCAGGGAGCCGAGCCCTGGGGACTTGGGTGGAGAAGGGGTACCCCCCCTCTCTGGGCGCCTCTATAGAAAAGAAAAGAGGTTGCCCAGGGCTGAGATCTTTGGGAGACTCCCCTGCTCACCCCAATCGAATTCTCCCAGAGCGGGCATCCCTGCTGAAAACAGATCTAGACATGAGCCCCACTTTTGCTAAAGAATTTGGGGGAAGTGGTTGTGGTCCTAAATTCCTCAGGTATGGGGAGCCCTATCCAACACATCATTCACCCCCATCCCGGGATGCAACCCCCACCCCCTACACTGCGAGTTAGCACCGCCTGTTTCCAGCGCCCCGCAGAGCGGGAGAAACTCGCTCTGTGCCAACAACTCCGCGATCCTGCCTCTGCGCCCGTGTAGACGCGGAGGGAGGCCGGCGCCCCGGCTGGAGAAATTGAGCCCGGCGCCGGCCCCGGACGCCAAAGGAGAGAGAGAAGGAGAGAGAAGGGGGGGGATCCCAGACCTCGGCTTCCCGAGGTCCCTCTGGGGATCCGCTCGCACCTCCACGTCTCCGCTCTGGGCGGCAGACCTCGCGGCGCTGGCTCAGGTGTCGGGCCCAATGCACGTCCTTTCGTACGTGCGAAGTGCTGCAGGTTGCCTGTCCCTTTCTGACCAGCGCCCTTTCCCTCCCTTGGCCCCGCCAGACTGTGGACCCCGACACTTTAGCTCTTGCCAGACGGCTCTAGCTAACACGGGGCCAGTGGCCTCAGTTTCCCGACCTGTAACCTCCTTTCCCCTGGATCTATCTGCACTCAGGTCCTCAGGTAGGAGACTTGGAGAGACTTCCCGGGGCAGGGAGGGGCAGTCAGGGGCGACTGAGGAACGCTACACGGGAGCCAACCGAGCCCCTGGAGGGCGGTGGGGGAGTTGGCACCCAGTCCCCTACAGAGATACAGGACCGCCTCACTGGTTAATGGATGGTGTCCATGCGTCAGACTCCACCTGGTCCTGGCACGCCTAGGAGAGGGCAACGCTTGGCACCTTGGAGATGGGGTGGGGATGGGGGTGTCCTCCTGGTCTCGGTGTCCACGTTCTGTGCAGAGTAGAAATGTCAGGCACCTACAACACTCCTTTTATCTCCTGGGTCCTCTATAGACAAGCACCTCCCAGTTCCCCTAACAGCTGCCCAGAGGTGAAGCCTCACGGGAGGGAATATCGTGTAGGAATTTCTGCACAGATAAATCTCGGCAGCAGAGACGTTGTGATTGAGTGGAACACACCACCCTCCACCACCACTATCAAAGTTGTCCTATAGTAGCTGCGAGTTAGACAGTTTCTGGGCTTTTGGCGCCCCCTCTGGATGCAGCTGAAAATTGCAGTCCAGTTTTTAAGGCAACTGATTGTTTATCACATTTTCAAAAAGATACAAGAATACAAAATGCTTGCATCAAACGAACAGAAAATGTAGACAACGCCGTAACTTACTATTTTACATGCTTATATATTATTTATGCCCTATTACATAATTGTATAAAAATCTATTTATGTATGTACGTAATTTTCTTGACCAATATTTAGTGAAATATTCCAACATATCTTCACGTCACGATCGTCTTCACTGTCTTTTATACCGTCGACATGGGAATTACAATAAAATGCAGCTAAATACAGACGCCTTGATAAAAATGCCCCAAGTTCTACTGTCTGAGTCTCCTCCTGGGTCAGGTGTCTGAGGATCACAATTATACGAGCAAATGTCCCCTCCCCGGGACACAAAAATCAGTCCATAGTATGCGGGACGTTTTCTCCCCCCAAAAGGACGAAGTTGTTCTTATACTTTCCCAGTATATTGCAGAGCCATGGTTATCTCTTAAACGCCTAAACAAACTGGAAGATACCAAATACATCCACTGTGAGTTAACATTCGATTAAAAAGGAGATACTATTTAACAGGGTTGTAACTTACTACTTTGTGAAGAGTTCCGTTTCTTACAAGAAATGCCCGAGTTCTTCGGAAGAAAAAAAAAAAACAAGATGTTTAAAAATTCTTCAAGGGAAAGAATCTTTCAAGTCCGCAATTTGCAAATGGTAAGTAAACAAGTCTTCGAGATGGTGCGGGCCGAGTCACAATAACAATAATTTGAATCCAGGCGAATATTTGCGGGAGCCAGGAAGGGGGGGGGTGGGTGAAAATTAACAGCTTTCCACGGTTGTGCGTTTATTGGTGATTCTGACAAGGAACCCGCAGGCGACTAAGGTTTTCTTCTCCCCCAGAAAACATACCCCGGCAGACTCTCAGCATTCGTATAGATACAAAGATTGTGCCCAAATCACACTTTAAATACAGGAGACACCCCCAGCCCTCCCGCAGAACTCCCAACTGTCTGCGAGTCACAAAAGGCCGGGACTATAAAGTGAGGATGACAGGCGCTTCGCCCCTCCAGGTGTTTGAAAAGGAGGGCGAAAGCGGGACTCTGGCAGAGTGGCCTGTTTCTCTGCGGCGGTGCCCATTTGTTTGGCCTTTTACAAACCGAATGACTGGCCTCGGCCTCGCGGCCCGGGACACCCACATTCACACAGTTCATCTCTCAAAGCCAGGGCAGTCGCACACTCATTTCTGGGCAACTCTGCTGACGTTTTGACTCGGCTGGGAGGTGAAGAGCAGACGGTCAAAGCAGCTGCCCTGTCACCGAGGCGCTTTGGCGGGGTAGGGCTTGCGGGGGACTGGAGAAGGACTTGCCCCAGTTCAAGGTCGGGGTGGCGCGGGACCGCTGCGAGCGGAGGGCTACGCAGTCACCGCTGCCACGGCCGCTGCCGCCGCCGCCAGCCTTCGTGGGGACTTAGCTACGGTTTCCATTGATTCCCTTTGCAAAAGCGCAGCAGAATCCCGACCAGCCGCACCAGCCCCAAGGAACCAGAGCATGTTAATCTATTTATATGGATTATTACAGAGGAACGGCGGGCGCTGAGTCACCAAAACATTTATTTCCAAGGACTATTTCTAAGTACTTTCGGCAGAGGCCGGCTCCGGGCGCGGAGACTGGGCTGTGCATTATGGAGAGACTGCTTCTCAATACTGTAAACTCCACAGCTAAGTCTCCGGGACCGCTGAGAAAGAAGTGAAAAGAAATGCTTGGGGTGGGGGTAGACCTTAGTCTAGACACGCTCGCGTGCACACACACACACACACACGCACACACACGAAGATTAGCGCGGAGACGGCACCAAAATTCTGACATTACGAGAGTACAGCAAACTTACACACTTGGACGTCCCGGGTCCCCCGCCTGCCCCGCAGCACCCCCCTCCCAGCAGCCCGACCAGCGGCAGCGCTCCCCGCCCTGCTCCTCCCCGCCCCTCTCGTCACCCAGCCCAGTGCCACAACCCGCCTCCCCCCCCACCAAATCCGATCCAATCAGCTGCCTGCCAACCCTGTGATTGGCTGGACGTCTCTAAGGTGAGGGGGAGTATTTATTAAAGAGCGCCGGGCTGGAAGTCCGAGAGCGGAGAGCGGAGCTTGAAATTAACTGGAACTTCAGTGGCGCCGCGACTTGCCAGTTTCACCCCAGGAACTTTTCTTTGCAGGAGAGGAGAAGGGGTGCAAACGCCCCCGCTTTAGCTCTTTCTTCCCCTCCTCCTCCTCCTCTCCAATTCGCCTTCCCCCATTTGAAGCGAGCAACTGCGGGCTGGCCACCCCGCGCCTTCCTAAGTGCTCGCCGCAGCCGGGTGACCCGCCAGGCTCTCGGGGAGCCGCTTTCTCTGTGTCCGGGCAGCTGAGGGGAGAGGAGCCCGCGCCTCGAGTCCCCGAGCCGCCGCGGCTTCTCGCCTTTCCCGACCACCTGCCCCCTCCCCCGGGCCCGCGTATGAATCTCCTGGACCCCTTCATGAAGATGACCGAAGAGCAGGAGAAGGGCCTGTCCGGCGCCCCCAGCCCCACCATGTCCGAGGACTCGGCGGGCTCACCCTGCCCTTCGGGCTCCGGCTCTGATACCGAAAACACGCGGCCCCAGGAGAACACGTTCCCTAAGGGCGAGCCGGACCTGAAGAAGGAGAGCGAGGAGGACAAGTTCCCCGTGTGCATCCGCGAGGCCGTCAGCCAGGTGCTCAAAGGCTACGACTGGACGCTGGTGCCCATGCCGGTGCGCGTCAACGGCTCCAGCAAGAACAAGCCGCACGTCAAGCGGCCCATGAACGCCTTCATGGTGTGGGCGCAGGCGGCGCGCAGGAAGCTGGCGGACCAGTACCCGCACCTGCACAACGCCGAGCTGAGCAAGACGCTGGGCAAGCTCTGGAGGTAGGGCTGCGCGGCCGGGGCTGGGTGGGCTCCCTGCGGCGGGGGCACAGGCCGAGACCGCTGTCCCCGCCCCGCCTCCCACCAGGGGGGAGTCGTGGTCCCGGAGCTGGCAGGGTGGGGTCGGAGGGGGGTGGGGACGCTGTGTAACTTGGCTCAGAGTTTGACAAAGTTCTTGGATTGCTCTAGGGAAAGGGGGTGGGTGGGCGGAGGGGAAGGGAGATAGCCAGAGGGTGGGAGACGACTCGCGTCCCTCGGTGGAAAGGGGCTGCCAGCCTGAACTCCCGTTGCTGTGAAGGTCAATCCCAGATGGGGTGCTGGAGGGGAAGTGAAGTTTGCTCCTCTCTCCCTGGGACTGCACTGTGCAGCTCTGCCTTCACGGAGGTGGGGTGGAGGGTGGGAGAGAAACCGAGGCTAGAGGACCCCCTAGCCAGAAGGGCGTGGAGGAGCGAGGCTACTGGAAATAAGTGGGCGCAGTGGGGGGGGGGGGACAGGAGAGACTCCTTGCAGATTGAGTGGGGCTTTTGGAAAGTTCTTAAAGGGACTTGGGGACGGAGGAGGGCGTGTGGCTAACTCCAGTAGCAACGACATTTGCAGCAGGAGCGAGGGGGGGGCTCTTTTCCTCCGCAGGGTTTCCAAAATAGAAGAGAAGGGGAGAGGGCGGGGCACGGAGTGACCGCTCAGGTCCCACTGAAGGAACCAATATTTCCTCTTTTATTCGTTTACTTTTTTTTTTTTTTTTAAGAAAAGTTAGGAGCTGCGGCAGTGGCTGGAAAACGGGGAGGAGGGAGGACGAGGCGGAGGGAGGACGCGGCGGTGTGTGCGAAGCAGCGGAGAGGTCGCCTCCCGCCGCCCTGACAGCTCGGGATTTCACAGACCCCCCTCGCTTTTCTCTGCGCCCCCCTCCCGCCCGCAGACTGCTGAACGAGAGCGAGAAGCGGCCCTTCGTGGAGGAGGCGGAGCGGCTGCGCGTGCAGCACAAGAAGGACCACCCGGATTACAAGTACCAGCCCCGGCGGAGGAAGTCGGTGAAGAACGGCCAGGCCGAGGCCGAGGAGGCCGCGGAGCAGACGCACATCTCCCCGAACGCCATCTTCAAGGCGCTGCAGGCCGACTCGCCGCACTCCTCCTCCGGCATGAGCGAGGTGCACTCGCCCGGAGAGCATTCGGGTAAGTCCCGGCCGCCCAGCCTCGCCCAGCCACGGTCCGCGGGCACACCCCGGCCGCCACCTAATGGGCTCTACTTAGGAACCTTGCGCTCCTTGGGAAGGGAAACACCACCCCCTATGCCTAATCCTCCTCCCCTTCCTGCCCAGGGCCCCAAGAAGCCCCTAAACACACACACACACACACACACACACACACACACACACACTCCCCCCCTGCCCCCGCCCCTCCCTGCATCCTAGCAGATTGATTTTTATTGCGAGGTAAAATGCCTTTACAACTTTACAGGACGGCTCCCTTCTTTGCTTTGCTCCCCCACCCCAAAAACACACACGGGATTCTTCTGCAAGTAGCAATTTGGTCGAGGGCCCTCAGACCCTCCCCTGATAAAAGGAGACTGCCCAGTGTATACTAGCGGGTTAATCATTCAGGGTCTCATCTCTAGTACAGTGTACCTCCCTTGGGGATGCTGGGGCCCTGTGACCCTTTATCAGGAAGGGAGGTTCCCAGGAGGGTTTCTAAAACTAGGGCCTTTGCACAGCCCTTGCTGATTTTCCTGCAATTCCTTCTCTTTTATTGCCTTCAGGGCAATCCCAGGGCCCACCGACGCCACCTACCACCCCCAAAACCGATGTGCAGCCCGGCAAGGCTGACCTGAAGCGAGAGGGGCGCCCCCTGCCAGAGGGGGGCAGACAGCCCCCCATCGACTTCCGCGATGTGGACATCGGTGAGCTGAGCAGCGACGTCATCTCCAACATCGAGACCTTCGACGTCAACGAATTTGACCAGTACCTGCCACCCAATGGCCACCCGGGGGTGCCAGCCACGCACGGCCAGGTCACCTACACCGGCAGCTACGGCATCAGCAGCACAGCGGCGACCCCGGCCGGCGCAGGTCACGTGTGGATGTCCAAGCAGCAGGCGCCGCCGCCCCCGCAGCAGCCCCCGCAGGCCCCGCAGGCCCCGCAGGCGCCCCCGCAGCAGCAGCCGCAGGCGCCCCCCCAGCAGCCGCCGGCGCCCCCGCAGCAGCCGGCGCACACGCTGACCACGCTGAGCAGCGAGCCGGGCCAGTCCCAGCGAACACACATCAAGACGGAGCAGCTGAGCCCCAGCCACTACAGCGAGCAGCAGCACTCGCCAGCGCAGCAGATCGCTTACAGCCCCTTCAACCTGCCGCACTACAGCCCCTCCTACCCGCCCATCACCCGCTCCCAGTACGACTACACCGACCACCAGAACTCGGGCTCCTACTACAGCCACGCGGCCGGCCAGGGCTCCGGCCTCTACTCCACCTTCACCTACATGAACCCGGCGCAGCGGCCCATGTACACCCCCATCGCCGACACCTCCGGGGTCCCTTCCATCCCGCAGACCCACAGCCCCCAGCACTGGGAACAGCCTGTCTACACACAGCTCACCAGACCTTGAGGAGGCCTTAGACAAAGGGTGATGATTGGCGTGATGATCATAAAAATAAACGAAGAAAGAAACAACCAACCAGAATTTCCATTGGACATTTTTTTTTCTTACTCCATAAAGACCTTTAAGCTGGAGGCAACTCGTACCCAGATTCCAAGACAGACACATTAGCTATCCAAACACATGACCACCTTGCTTCGAGGCAGTGGCCAGGCCACCCTTGGCTAGAAGGACCAGCGGGATCAGGACAGGAGTCAAGCCGGAGGAGGAGGGAGAACCAATCTGGGACCAATCTGCTCAATCTCTCTGCCTGTTTGGACTTTGTAATTATTTTTTAGCAGTAATTAAAGAAAAAAAGAGTCCTCTGTGAGGAATATTCTCTATTTTAAATATTTTTAGTATGTACTGTGTATGATTCATTACCATTTTGAGGGGATTTATACATATTTTTAGATAAAAAATTAAATGCTCTTATTTTTCCAACAGCTAAACTAGTTGAACAGTGTGCCCTAGCTTTTCTCGCAGCCAGAGTATTTTTGTACAGATTTGCTTTCTCTTACGAAAAAAGAAAAAAAAAAGTGTGTTGTATTAACATAAAAAAAAAAAAAAAACCCCACACAGTTTTGTGTTATGTGATGAGTTTTGGGGGTTAGCTTTGCTTAATGCCTCAGGCTTTCTGATTCAAGGAAGAGCTGCCTTAGAAAACTAAAGGCCTTATTTTGCAAGTATGGACCTACACACGTTAGTCTAGAGAAGCATATGGTAAGCTTTATCACATATATATTTTTTAAACGAGAAAAAAAACACCTTGAGCCTTAAAACCATGCTGCTGGAAAACGCTCGCTCTCTTTTAGTGCATTTGTTCCCTCCTGCGGTTGCTTGTTCACGGCATTGAGCGCGAAGCAAAAGGCAAGGAGAGGAAATGTGATTTGGGGATGTTTCAGCAGCCAGTAAGTGACCCCCGCCCCCAGCACACTGCCTCCTGGTTGCCTGCCGGGCCCCATGTGGAGCACAGATGCTGGAGTCTTCTCACACTGTTACCTGTGCCTCTCTGAACACGGTTCACCTTCAAGACATTCCACGTGCTAAAATTATTTATTTCACAAGGAGAGGTTGTAATTAAAAAAAAAAAAATTTTTTTTTTCTTTTTAAAATTTACCTTCTTGAAAATAGGTTGTTGGAGCCTTCCTCAAAGGGCATGGTCATCGGATGTTAAATTATGTTCTTAACTGTAACCAGTTTTGTTTTTTTTATTTATCTCTTTAATCCTTTTTTTTTATTATTAAAAGCAAGGTTCTTTGGATTCTTGTCCTAGATGTGTATAAATGCCTTTTTTTGGTTCGTCCTTTTATTTTTCTTTATTTTGTTGAAAACAAACTGGAAACTTGTTTCTCTTTTTGTACAAATGAGAGGTTTCAAATGTAGTGTATCACTGAGTCATCTGCAGTGTTTTCTGCCACAGATCTTCGGGCTGCCTACAGGGTGTGCGTGTGTGTGCGTGCGTGCGTGCGTGCGTGCGTGTGCGTGACATCCATATCCGTATTCCCCTGCATGTTCTCTTGGAGACAGGGAGGAAAGGGGGAGGGGCAGGCCCGCTGGTAGACCTTACTTCTTAATTACTTCTGTGGCTGGAGAGTTTGAGGATTGCTTTTTAAAAAAGACAGCAAACTTTTTTTTTTTTTATTTAAAAAAAAAGATATATTAACAGTTTTAGAAGTCAGTAGAATAAAATCTTAAAGCACTCTTATAATATGGCATCTTTCCATTTCTGTATGAAAGCAGATCTTTAAAAAAAAAAAATATTTCTGTAACTTAAAAAAAACCTGGCATTTAAATCTTATTTTGTCTCTAGATAAGGTTTGGTTTGTGTTTGTGTTTTGTTTGTTTTGTCCCCCACCACCCCCATACTTTTGTTCTCTCTGTGAAACTTACCTTTTCTACTTTTCCTTTCTTTTTCTTTTTCTTTTTTTTTTTTTGTATATTATTGTTTACAATAAATATACATTGCATTAAAAAGAAAACTGTCCTATGGACTTATTCACCCCTTTCTCTCATTAAAAGGATGGTTTGAAAAATTCCGCCACAAAAGAGGTTGTTCTGTGCTGATCCCTGGGAGGTTTTTGTTTTTTATGTGCACTTTGGCAGTTCTACAATCTGCCCTGGGAAGACTGTGTCCTCTGAAATCTACACAGAAAAATCTTGTCAAGTGCCACCCCATTAGGGCACAAAGAGAATTACATGTCAGCAGTTGCCCGCTCAGGAAAATGTTTGTTGTGGTTTAGGGCAGAAGCTGCTGTTCGCTGTGGAAGTCAGAGGGACTATTAGACCTGAAGTCAGTAGCGTGTCAGAAGACAGATGCCAGGGGGGTGACTTGCGTGTCTGAACTCAATAGAACAAACTTTCTGTTATTGTGGACACATCCCCTGAAATGGGGTGTCCACTTAAAAGGCCAAAGAAGCCAAAGGAACCTAGAGTGTCAGAAAGGGACCCCAGGGATGTCTGTCCTTGTGACCCATTCAATAATTCAGTTTTATCTGCAGGGGCCAGGGAATGAGATGATTTTTCTGTTCCCTCCGGTTTAACTCATTCTGAGAAGATGCAAAGCCATCGTAGAAGTAATAAGACCTAATCCTGTTTTCCTTGGCCCCGGTGAGATGGGAGTTTCCAGGATCAGAGAAACGTTCAGGTCATTTTTCATTAAACAGATGAAATCACTCCTTCCCTCCCACCCCCACACAGAGACACCCCACCCCCCACCCAGCTGATTGGGGAATGTCTCTAAGGAGGCCGGTCTCCTCTCCAACCTCAGGCTGGTTTGCCTGCTGGGCCTGTGTCTCTGCCCGGCTTACCCAACACCAAACTCTCTGGTATTACTTCACATTGTCTGTTTTCGCTTATTGGATTCCTGGCCCGAGTCCCACGCCAGGATCATGGCAACCAGGAAAATGGTAGTTATCAAATCGAGGCAACATTAGTACTCAGCCTCCTTGGTAAATTCCTTCAACAAACATTGATCTAGGGCCTGGGATCTGTTGGGTGCTGGCAGCAAACTTCCCTGCCCCCGCCCCCGCCCCCACCCCAGATGTCAGATTCTGTGGCTCTTGGGGGCCACCACATCCCATTCGTTTAGGCTCAGAGCCCCTCCTCCATTTTTACAAAATCTCTATTCCCCCCCCCTTGCCACCACTCCCCAAGTCCTTTTAACAGTCTCTTAAATCCTTATTCGCCCAAATCCCTTTGTCTATTAACATCAACACACACCATCCCGGCATGATCATCTCTCCCCACCAAATCTGTTGGCAAGATTCTCTCTCTCCCAGAAACGCTGTCTTGCCCTCAGCACATGGCCTCGGGCAGACCTTGGGAGGGCCAGAAAAGGTTGTCGAGACCGAAACCTGCTAGGTGACCTAGAGCAGGCTGCTTATTGCCCGTGCCTCGGTTTCCCCTTTCGTTAAGCCTGTGTGGAGCTCTTCCCTCTCATAACAGGGTTGATATGGGAGCAGGTTTCGGCGAGGGGCGGTCTGAGAATTGACCAGCTCTGACTCTCCTGGTCCGCACAGGACTCCTACTGCTTTGGGTTAGAAGGAACATGTTTGGGGTTTTCGCAGGCTCCCCAAATGGTTTTGATACACAGGAACGTACAAGAGATGCCTGAGTGCAGAGAGTGGTGCCTCTGCATCCGCTCACCCCCACCCGCCAGATGTAGCCAAGGCCCAGTAGCACCAGATTATAAAATATTTTAAAGGAATCTTTAGTCTAAATCCAGAGATACAGGCTTATCACCCTGACAACAAGATATTTGTTGGAAACCTAGCAGAGTCCTACAGACCAGAAAAGGCTTGTATTTAGATCATCCAGGCTTATTTGGATATTTTTTGCTCTTGAAATTAAAGTCTTTTTTTTTTTTAACTAGTTTAACAAAAAGGGAGTTTTTAACGGAAGGGAATTTGAAAATCACTTAGAAGCAGCCTCATGGGCCGTAATTAACATGGCAACGCTAAGGATCCGTGTGAGAAGTGTGTTTGACTTCCCAACTCAACTCCATCCTCTTCCCTTCCCTTCATTTCCAAGATGAATATTCCTGAGGCACCACTCTGACCCTTTTTAAATTAATTGGTGACAATTGCTATAGTCAGAGATGCTAAGATGCTAAAGCTTCAGGACTTGTCACTTGCAAAGACTCCTATTAAGGCCTTGCACTTAATCTCATATTCTTTTTAATGTATATTCTTTTTCTTGAAGATGCCCCGCCCCCCCAAAAAAACCGATAAGCTTCAGACTCACGAAACCTGAGCCTACCCATGGCCACGGCTGTTGGACAGCAAGCCATGACCTCAGCAGCTGCCAGCAAGATGCCTTTTCTTCTGTTCTCAACAGTCCTGACACCTAGTAGGTGCTTAGGAAAAACCAGCCCTCATCATATCCATGGGCCTGCTGGCAAGGTCACAGGCGCATTATTAGGGGTCTCTACCATAACACCCTACAACCTGCCCTTACACACTTTACTTATCCCTCTGAGATGCAGATGCTCTTCGCTTCTCAAAAAAAAAATATTATCTTCTGGGCATAACAGAGGTTCAGTGGAGTCAAGTCCACAAGAAATGTTATTTCTTCTACCTAATTTCACTTCATCTTCCAACTCATTTCTTTTTTTCCTTTCTAAGATCATCTCTGCCCTGCGTTTTCCTAGCGTCTCCTATTCACTCTGGAAGCTGCAAAAAGTCCGCGAATGGGGCTGTTCCTTTACATTCACAGACTAGAACTCTTTTACTCTGGACACCTGGAGAACTGTGGGCAGACCAAATGCCACGCCCCGGCCCTCTCGGGTTCTCATTCATTCAAGACAACCCAGCAACACTTGGGTGACACGTGCATCACCTTGAAGCCACTGCTGGACATGTCTCCTGAAATGTCAAGATTTTACATCGAACTTAGTCCAGTGTCCACGACTTTGTGTTGCCCTACTCCACTTTCATTAGATTTCTGCTCTTCGTTCTCTCCACGAATGTTCGGAGAGCATGTCCTGGGGTCAAGCTTCAGCAGTGAGCAAGACAGACATAGCCCTCTGCCCTCACAGGCGTTCCCTTTTAGAGAAGGCGGGAAAAGCAAACAATCCTGCCCTTTTCCGGTTCATATGCTATGAGCATGAACACGAGAAGGACGCCGTTGGCTAGGGCCAGCTGGGAGGCTATGGCGACCATCCAGGTGAGATGCCGGTGGCCCAGTCGAGGACGGCAGAAGAGCAAGGTAGTTGATGGATTTGGGAATGATTTGCTCTTCTTCTCTCCCCGTCTCCAACCATTTTCCAGTAACATGGACTGTACTCTGACCCACTGACATAGAAGTGACCTAGTCTCTTACCTTAGTAACCCTCCGTAAGTGTGTCTACCCCTTGATGAAGCACAGAGTCATGGATCTCACAACCCCCATTTTGCCAGAGACCTCAAGAGGAGGGTCCA